TATTCAACTTCTGGGTGGTCGCCACTCGAACGTTTTTTCATAGAGTGAGCTCTTCAGAGCCAGAGCTGTAGGAAAATTCACCCTTCGTTCCTCCCAAGGGAAATATTTGTAAATTTTAGTTCCGGACGCATGTAAGAAACGAGGACGGCAAACATACACTCGGCAACAAACGCTTGAACTCGAAAAGGAGTTCCACTACAACAAATATCTCACAAGAAGGTTGGGTCCATTTAGTTAGCTCTGATAGACTTGTAGCCCTTTCAGCACCGACCTTGTTGATTTGCAGGCGACGAATTGAACTGAATCGAAGTTTGGGACTATCCGAGCGCCAAATCAAGATCTGGTTTCAAAATCGTCGAATGAAGCAGAAAAAGGAGAACAAATCGCAAAACGAGCATCGTAGTGATTGTGCCTAGCCTGCCTCGAAACCGATTTCCATTCGCCAGTCTTCCACTCTAGTCAATCCAGTTTGTAGCCAATTTAGGAACATTTTTTGTATTTCAAAGCTCGATAGGTGTTGATCTCGTGCAATATGCTTTTCCCTATTGTATCACTTGCATTTCGTTCACTTTTGTCTCTGGCTAGCAAAATATCCTAGATCTCACCATGGCCACAATGGAACCAAGTTCTCTTAGCCTAAAATGCTACTCGATATTGCAATTGCAAGTACTATGTACTCTTACTTATGCCCATACTATACTGTAAACGAATATGGTTAAATCGTTTATTGAACTCCGTGACAGATGATCGACAAAGGGCGCACTGTGTGAGATACCGTAACCACCTGGGCGCAGCGCTCTTGTACAGCAACACAGGCGGCACGCCGCGTTTTCCATTCACGACCACAAAAACGGTTCCTCTTTAAGGAGGCGCCGCGAATTTGCATGTGACGTTAACTTCAATCGAAACGAATAGAGCGTGTTCATTTCCCGGTCAGAATTCGAATAGTGAGGCAATGATGTTCACAAAGGCAGAACTGAAGAAGCAGAGGACACAACCGAACTCGTTCCGTGCTGCCTTGGCACAGTCTCCCACCAGTTGTCGACTGTCCATGTGTGGCAACCATGACGAGCGGCCACCGACTGAAATTGATATTTACACAAAAATCGAAGCAAAATCGTCAAAGCCCATGAAGAACTCTTCAGAATTGCGAAATAAGGCGAAATTTTCGGCAAAAGGTAAACACAACGAACGTGGGCATATCGCGACGCCGTGATTGAGGTGACACAAGAAACGTTAGTCCGGTTTGATGTTGTGTTTACACAAATATTTAACTACCGTACACCACACCGACCACGAGAGAAAAGCGTTCCTTTCTTCGATCGCTAGCTAGCTACCGTAGTCCATGGCCACGACTACCTTATTCATTTGTTTCCGAGCGGAAGACGACGAGCAGCCACCAGGGCAGCAGTCATTTCCACCAGGATAACTGAACGCTCTCAAATGCACACACTTCCGCTTATGAAAATGCTGCTAATTGGACAGAAGGGCTAATGAAAGTAGGACTTCCCAGTGGGAATTCATGAATTTGCTTTCTGACACAAGTGCACGGAAGATCCGACTTCCATCTGTACTTTCGACTGACAGACATTGTGCTGAAGAAATCTTTGCTCGATCTCATCTCTTGTCCCATCTACATCAGATGTCCATTCAAACTCTTGAGCGCTACCGTAATCTACCGCTACCGTATTTGGTTCGTGTGTGTGTGTGCGGGTGTGTGGGTGTCAGTGAGCAGCCTGTGCGCATCGGTTCGTTTGTGTGCATGTGCGCGATGGTCCCAGGCGTCTCGTTGTCTATTGATATTCAGAAGCGGAGCGACTGGGAGCCAACTGTGAATTAAACGATAAATCGCACGCGGTTTCATGTGATTTTCAATGGGCCCATAAATGGGATGCGTGAGAGCACAACGTACCGGGAGGTTCCAGACATTCGGAAAAGCCAGAGCTAGCCAGACCTGCTGGAGTAATACTGGATATGTGCGCTAAATGGGGAGCGACAGATAAGCTGGAAGGAAGTGTTTGCTGGGTGAACCAGTGAGGATGATATCAAGATAGAACAAGTTGAAAGGATGCGGGG